TAATCTGTACAGAAATATTGCAGTTGGTTCGCTATTACCCCAACCACTGAGGGAGACCATGACCACCCCACTCCTTTTTTAAAAAACTCAGATGTCACTATTAGTTGATGGTCTCCAAATAGGGCATAAACTAATGGTTATATAAATGGCACAGACCTATATTTTTATAACCAATACCTATAATCCTCTTCCCTGATGTTTGCGAAATGACTTCAGACACATTCATTTAAACACTTGTATTTGCTACCATTTTACTTTAAAACAATATCTATAATAAGTTTAGTGCTGAATAATATAAAAAATTTTCAAATATATTACAAGAGACTGCAGAGTATGAGGCATGAACTCTGTGAGGTAGGCAAAATATGTTATTCCTCTTCATAAAAGCAGAAACTGCGGTTCAAAAAAGGTTAAAGGAATTCCACTAGACAGAAACCTAGTCAGTAGCAAAATGAGAACATAATCTCTAAATGCAGCATTCTTTCAACTATATAACACAGCTTTCTCATGATTTATGGTCTAAACCACAAATCAAACTTAAGCTTTGATTCTAACTTTCAGTAGAATATCAGATTTCACTAGTCAGACCTCTCTGAAAACTCTGAAAGAAATTACTGGCACTTGCAAAATTTGAGGTTCAAATCAAAACATGAACTTTAACATTACTAAAATATAAAATACTTAATTACAATGGGCCTAATATAAAGTTTCAAGTAATCTAAATAAGCTACTATAAAAGCACAGTTATCAAGTGACATAAATATAAATATCATAATAATCTCGATATGCCTGGCTTATTAAATACATTAATTAAAATCTCATTTCAGAATATTTATTATGTTTTAAAAGTAAATACCTTTAGTGCACTAAGTACAGCAGTAAATATATTAAGCTGCACAGCCTGCTGGCGGACACCTTTGGCTTGTTTAACACATTCAGCAAAGTGATCCAACATCTGTAATCTACATAATAGGATAAAGATCACATTAGTGACATTTTTTACTCAGATATGACTCAAAAAAAAAAAAAA